TCCTGGCTGAATCCAGCACAATAGATAAGGTGGATATTGTTTAGGCTCAAGCATGTGAGCACATATAGACTACTTGCCATTGCCCGGCTGCAGTTGATCATAGAATCATAGAATGGTTTGGGTTGGAAGGGACCTTAAAGATCATCTAGTTCCAACCCCCCTGCCATGGGCAGGGACACCTTGCACTAGACCAGGTTGCTCAAAGCCACAGGAGGATGGAGGAATATCTGATGGAGGAATATCCACATCTGGAGGCCAGGGATGTAGAGGAATTTGGTGTCCTGTGTAAGAAATCTGCCAGGACTGGCTATGATGCTGCTCTTGTACGTGACCAGGCAGTGGCATGTTTCTGCATCCCATGTCCTGCAATGCATTCTTAAGGCATTGTGTCACAGTGGACACTTGCCTTTGACGTCAGAGGAAATGGATTGAATGCATAAAATGCCTGAAGAATTCCAGTGACAATGTCCCCAGCAGCAGCCCAAACAGGAGGCTGAGGGCAGTGCCAGTGTGCTTGGGAGGCTGTGGCCAGAGACTGCTTGCATTATTCCTGGGCTGTGGTCTCATGTCCTGGGCTGTACTGCAAAATCCTAAAGGAAGTGCTTGGTACAGAAAGTTGGTGTGCTGAGACCTCTGGAGACTAGTACCTATAGTTCCTCTGTTTCTGTACCTGTCGTCTTTTTTTCCCTGCTGTCACATGCTGTGATGTGCAGCTCCATTCTTCTGTAATCACTTCTGACTTCTCTGGAGTGTGCCTATACCAGCAAGCAGGAGAGTGTTCTGTACTAGTCTATTTCTCCTTGTCAGAGAATCATGTAGGTTGGAAGGGACCTCCTGAGATCATCTGCTCCAACCTCCCTCCTCAAACAGGGACATCTAGAGCAGGTTAACCAGGACCATGTCCAGTTGGGTTTTAAATACCTTCAAGGAAGGAGAATCTACCACATCTCTGAGCAACCTGTGCCAGTGTTTGACCACCCCCAAGCTGGTGGAAGAAATAAGCAAATGATGTTAATGTAGGGGAAGAGATCTATCTTCTCTAATAATAGTTCATGGATCCCTGTGCAAGGGACAGCATCCTTTGCTCTTCCAGTTCATCTGGCCATAGGGGCAGAGTTTCCTACATCATGAGTGACATCAAAAGACTCAAGGGTTATAGGGAGGACCTAATGGAATTTTGTGACTGTGATCCACAGATTGATCTCTGGTCATTACAGGTGGAAGCCTTAGCTGTTATCTGGGAGGATCATGATTGCACTTGTTCAGTCTTATCTAGTGAGTTATGAATTGGAGGATTTTTTTTTTTTTTTTTACACAGGCACAGGAGCACTTTAACAAATGGAGGGTGCATAGACTAGGCGACAGGAGAGTTTGATCCCAGTGCATGCACACATGCAATTTTGATGTGTCTCTTTCATAGCATTATCATCATTAAGATTTTGTTAAGCAAAAGGGCTACTCCATCTGGTATCTGTGTTTCCAGAAGGAAGATTAATTCTTTTGGTGTGCTGAGGTGTGGGGATTGCCAGCAGAAGCAGGGTGTACAGCCCTGCAATGAGGTAAACCAAATAAACGGAAGACCAAGCTCTTCTTGATGTCTGCATTGGCCATCTCTCAGGGATCTTCTAATCACCCCACGTTCTTTTGAATCTGTTTTCCAAGCTCTTTGTTAGCTTCCATTTTCTTTCCTTCCCTTTCAGGTGGATGAAGAAGCCTCGATGTGGAGTTCCCGATCACCCCCACCTACGCCATAGCCGGAGGAAAAAACGATATGCACTAACCGGACAAAAGTGGAGGCAGAAGCATATAACCTACAGGTATAGCCCCCTCCCTGCCCCTTTTCGTTAGGGGAAAAAAAAGTTCTGTACTTGTTTGGTATGCAAATTTTCGAAGTACTTTTAAAAACTGGATTTTCCCCATACTGCTTAGTTGAGGCTTTCGTTCTCGGAGCACTGTAGTAACTGAAGAGTCTGTTCTCAACTAGAAAATAACTGCTCAGCAGAGATGCCTAAATTCCAGCCATTCAGTTGTGTAACTCTGTCAGGAAAGTCCTCTTAAGCCCCTTTGTGTTTCCATAGAAATCTAAGGCTATAGCCCTTAGATCATGTGTCTTCTTTAATAAACCATTAAAACGGAAGGAACATCATTGTCTAAAGGTGTGATGCTTTCTCCATCTACTAATTTGCAACATTGTACTGAGTATTTATTTTTGCAGAGATTTTACTTTTGGTCCTGTAGTAGAACTCTTGCTGTTGTCCAGATGTAGACCTGCTGAGGCAATATGCTGACGTGGGCTACAGGTGTCAAATGGATGTTACGTAGCAACGATTGTTTCCCAGAGATACATTTTGTTTGAGGCATTTAGGCCCTTTTGAAAGGCAATTGCTGAATGATACCAATGGAAGTTTCTGATTATATGAATCTCCCTTCAGAATAAAATTATCCTTCCTCTTGTTGAAAGTATAGAGTTTAATTTTTTTGGGGGGGAAAGGAGGTTGCAGAGGAGTACAAATTAAGGATGTAGACATTAAGGAGAAGATATGGGTGAGCAAGGCTAAGACAGGAAGTAAACCTGTGGTAAAGAGGTAGAAAATGAGTGACCAGCATGGGTAAGGTGCTAGAATG